CTAACTTATAGCAACCCTATCCCAGGGTTTTCTGGGCAAAACCTATTCAGAGAAGGTTCCCCTTTGCTTTCCTGTAATGTTGAGAGAGTATAATTAGCCCAAGGTCACCCAGTGGGTTTCCAGGGCTAAGCAGGTATTTGAACCCTGGTCTCCCACTGAGAGACTAGACCATTACACTCTGCTGTCTCTAATTTTCACCAGCCTTTTCAATGGATTTTTCCTCTATGAATTTGTCTAATCTTCTCTTCAGTCTATCTGAAGCCCTGTTCAGGAGTTAGATGAATACATGAGTGTTCAAAATGTGCAACCAATGGGGTCAAAGAGAAAAGGATGGGACTGGAAATGCAAGTGTATTTTGATTTAATACTTTTCCCTAGTTTTAGGAAAGGGGGAAGCCAGGGGGAGAACTGTACATAAGCAAAGGAATGACTAAGCTATGGTGTCATAGGAAAGGAGGAAGTAGTCCTCCTGAGGAACCCAGAGGGCCAAATTTAGCTCTAAGTCCTTATTTTATACAGTACCATCCAGGTATAAGGGGCAAACCCAAGACCCATTCAGCTGAATGAGCTGAGAAGCCTCTCTGCAACTGGGAACTTAGGTTTGCCACTTGTCCAGAGTCTTTTAAGCACATTTGTATGAAAGAACCCCCTTCAGATCTACCACAGGACAAAAATGAGCATGATGGAGATGGAACTTGTATACATAGTCTCAGTGCCTACTACATGCCTTTGCAACAAAAACCTCAAGAGGACTTTCAAGCTTTTTTTTAAAAATGGCAACATTGGTCTGTTGTTGTTGTTGTTGTTGTTGTTGTTGTTGTTGTTGCTGCTAATAAGGAAATCTTTCTCTGTATCCACTGATGGATTAGCTTTACTTTTACCTTTTACTCTAGAGTTGTAGTCCAACACTCAAACCAATATACCACACTGTGTATGTAGCTGTAATGGAAACACCAAGAAGCACAACAGAGTGGGTCTCCACTTTAGTTATGTATTAGATTGCTCATCTAATGATACTAAAGATACTGATAATAATGATACCATACATTCTTAGGTTGATGGACTTGTCTATAAATATTTTCAGAGTGTCTAGATATGCTTGTTATTAATGCCTGAGCACAATTTCCTTTTGCAGAACTGCAGATCATATATAATAATAACTGAAGTCTTTTGGCTACTGAACAGCATTGATGTCTTATCCATATAATTGTTTTTTCTCCACTTTAATTTAGAAGTTCTTGGTTACTATTAATGTATTTCTCCCAGGGTGTGATATGCAGGAATTTGGCTTGGATGGACTCCTCCTTTCTTTTAAGAACAGATTCCTTTATAAAACATTTTGTTCTTTTGTAAAGCTTGTATGCTAGTTGAATTTTTGGTGTGAAAATATATCAGCCATGGAAAGTAGGAGGGTTTTGATTATGCAAAGAAATAGTTGTCAGGGTTTGAAGTAGATTGGTACATACTTTGGGGCATGAAAACCATGTAAGCATATGGCCAGCTATTTACATTTTAAAAACTTCATAATGTAGGAGATGAAAGTGTGCGGGGGGTGGGGGGGGAGGATATACAGCTCTGCATATATAAAAAGAGGTGAGAACTGAAACATTTCAGATGATATTGTCAAACTAAATTTGCCCCTCTTGTTGATTGGCAGATATGTAATCTGAAGAGACATATTTCTACAGCAAAGAAGAGAGGTAGGCAAACTGGAGTCCGGTCTCTAGATATAGCCCAAAACACCTGAGTGCACTAGTTTGACTATCCCTAGTTTTATGAGCAGCTATAAAAACATAGGGCTAAATCTAATGTTAGTCTCAGCTAGAGCAGAGTCACTGAAATGGATGGGACCTGTTAGTTAAAATGTATGGGAGTTTTTGTTAAGATTTATTAATTTTAACAATAAGATTTGTTAATCTTATTGATTTCAACAAATCTACTCTAAAATGAGAACTAAAATTGAATTTAGCTCATAGTTTAAATAAATAGTGGCTTCTGAGAATTTTTTTCTAAAGTCATGTCTAAATCTTGGCTGGAAAATTATGAGAGTTGTAATCCAAAAATGAAAATTTCAAGCTCTGATTGATATTACACCTAGTTTACAGGTTATTTTTTTTACCTGTTTCACATTTTCTTTTAAATATTTGAGGGCAAAAACATTAACAACAATGATGCGACAACACTTACTTTTCTACTCCTAACAGACCCGTATATCCTGACTCCACTCTCTGATTTTCTAACCTTTCTGTGCTGAATGAAAAGTTCTGCAGGGAAGTTGTAATCATATTTACTTGAATGGTAGTAGAACTCTCTATGTGTCTGAAAAGTCAGTTTATCTGGATTCCATACTGTGCTGGGAGGAAGAGGAGAATATAAGAAAAAACTCCCCTGTACATCTTCCCATTCAAATTGGTAAGATCAGGGAACTGAGAGGACAAGGCCAATTTCCATGGGACAGTGGAGTCAGGCCAATGAGCATAAGCGAGGGGTGGTTGGTAGCTTCCATGCCAGGGGTGCAGTGAATTTGCTCTGGGTTTTATTCCAGATTTTAAAAGATCTATCAAGGTTTTAAAAGATCTATCCACAAATGGGTTCAAAATTCAGAACAAATTCACTGCATTCATTACATGGAATCCTCACCTAGTGCCCATCCTTAACATGACAGATTGTTGATCTTTCTTTCTGGTACAGGGTCCCCGAGATGATTCTCAACAAACTGAAAAGCCTCAGTAATTCTGGCTACTGATATCTTCCTTCTTTGTATGAAGACTCTACAGTTAAATAAGATGAATTTGTAATTTGAGTTTTGTTGAATCGCTCATTTTCTGGTCTGCCATTTATTTCAGCCTATGTTCACATCAGTTTGAGAAGTTGCCAAAAAAATGTGTGTGCATGTGTGTATAAAATTAATCTACACTTTTATAAGCATCTTTCCCAATATGTTCATTTTTGTATGTTTTTCCCTAGGGTGCACACTTTTTGCAAGTGTTTTTCATGCTTTTCTACTTCTCCTTAACTCTTTGCAAGTTTTTTCTGTTTCCAGATCAATATCTACACCCTCCTTCAGAAATACATATTCTAATATGGAATGAAAAACCTCTCTCTGAAGCCAGGTCACAACTGAAGAAACATAGAAGTTAAATTAGTCAAAGCAAAAGGGAAACAACAAAAACACACAACCTCCGAGTGTGACCCCCACTTTGTCCATTCTAATTGCTTTTATTCAATTTACCTGATATTTTCTCTTATTTTCTACTGAATCGCAGATATTTTTTTTATGGAATGCAGCACTGTCCCTCTGTAGTTCTGAAGTGTTATTTCTCATTCTCTATAATTCTGAAGTTTCTTACCACACATCTTGTTTTGTGAGAGCACCAAGGTCTCACTGAGCTGTGTAAAAGGTCCCTGAGATGTCTGTTATAATAACTGTGCTGTGGCAAATTGAATATCTCATGGAATTAAGTAGGTGCTGCTTACTTCTATTTTGAAGGTCACAACTGGAGCAACCTGAGTAATAAGCAATAGAAATCTTGCTATAGTCTAGAATTTTATACCAAGACCACTCCCTTTAGCCAAAGTCCTGCTTTGCTGATTACATATTAGCATAAGTATTTGAAAAGCCACCTCTTAGCTCAGGGGTAGGCAGCCTTTCCCCTTTAAGGGCCAAGGTACTTCAGCTCCCAGAATCCCAGGAGCTATTGGCCAACATAGGACTATTGGCCAACATGGCTGAGGCTTCTGGGAGCTGAAGTCCCTCAGCCCCCTTAAAGGGGAAAGGTTGCCTACCCCTGTCTTAGCACTTCTGAATGTAAGGGCAAATAAGGTTAAGCTAGGTGGAGGTTGTAAGCCAAAGAAGAGCAACTCTAATTTACAATGGCAACAATTACAGTGATTTCTGGTAAAAGGAGGAGTTAATTCTGCTATTTCAGTTTATTATAATCCCATGACACCCTGGTTTAACTTCTGTACAAATGGGGGGGGGGGG